GCAGCAATAAATTTTTCAGCAGTGTTTTAGTTTTCTTAACACTGTTTCTTAACACATTTCTTTCACAATTGTCCCTGTAAGATGGCGGGGGATTCAACATACGTTATGTTAAGTGTGTGCAACTGTAAGCAGACCATAACTACTTAAGGAAAAATAGCTGTTTTGATAGCTGCAACCATGTAATTCAATGAAGTATATTGTCTGGCCGTGCGCAAAGACACATAAAATAGTATATCTCAGATAAAAAGGGAGTCTGACTTTTAGCTTATGGCATATCATAGCTGCTACATACCGAGGCTGTAGTTTGCACTCCCATTCAGAAATGTGGTTAATTTTCTGTCTTGGTTAATACTTGAGAAATATGAACTGATTTTTGCCTTTATTAAGCAGCAATAATATGGGATGAGTCAGGACTACTTTATGGGCCATCCTAACCACTGCTAACTAATAACAGGAGAGACTAGGAAAAGATGTAAAAGCAAAGTGCTGAAGAGGAGAACATGAGATTAAGAGGAGTTTGCTCTGGTTCAGACAGCTGGTAGTATCTAACGCAGTTTTAAGCAACACTCAGTGCTGTTTGTGTAGCCTGTATTTTGCTTTTTAAATTTCCTTGGTTTGTTTTTTTTTTTTAAGGAACGTTAGCATATGCAGATGTTTGCATATTCTTGATGTTAAAATTATGTAGTCCCTCATTGATAATGAAATTCTGTAATTTAACAGTTTAACATAAGGTTTGGTTTTACTTTATTTGTATTTCATTTTATAATGTGTTATGAGTATAATTTCTAAAATTAATTACTCTAATTGACTTTCCCATTGTGGTAAATATTTGTGCAGCCTTTCATTTTAATGAAAAACATGAAGCCAGTTGTGTTCTACTGCCAAAGAGAAGGCATGAAACTAGGGAAAATTGAGACACAATTGAGCAAATCTGTCGCTAAAACTGAAAGTCCGTGCTTTCCTTTTCCTTGCCTTTTTTTTTTTTTTTTTTTTCATATTCTTTTGGGATCATCCGAAGTTCAGGTATACTCTTTACAGCCTTGCTATAGACCTCATTATTCTGTTTAGTGACAACATTCTTCTCTGCAAGCACTTGTGCTATCATGACTCTCAGCCGTTCATGGCAGGTTATCTTTTCATAGCCTTTGAATATTTTAGAAGGATGTTTTTGGGTTTTGTTTAAAAAAAAATAGGAAAAAGGGAAGGGGTGGGAAGCTGAGTTATAGCATCTCATTACTGTGGTTTAAAAATGGTCATACTGGTAAAACTGCAATGCCTTGTTGCATTACAACATTCAGAGTGATCTGAATAGATCATTCAGAGTCACTGCAAAGAGGAGGTTCAGTTAAAAGTGGAATTTTTAATCTTTTTGCTGTGTTATTACAACAAAACAACAGGCTTAACTCACCATGGTAACTTCATCTGAGCTAGCTTTCACCTCTGTTAAGATGAAATTTCTACGTTTTAACACAGAACGTGCTCTGTTTCTGCTGTGTGAGGTGGCTGCTTCCTCACTATGCTCTCCCTCAGCCTTGCAAAGAGGAGACAACGCAGAGGAAAACCTATGTTCTTTATGTATATACACAAACATATATATTGTAAGTATAAGTTAAAAAAAAAACTCATTTCAATTTGCTGCTTCAAAGTATCTCTTTTGTGTAGCAAGGAACTATCACTGTTTTTGTGATTCTATTGTAACTTCTATTTCTAGAGAATTATAAGGAAAGAATTAGAGAGAGGGCAAGGTATCTTGTCATTCAAACTACAAAGCAGTGCAGAAGTTAAGGCAAGTGCTTTGATTTACTTCATAGCAGATGATATTGCGACTTTGCTGATATTTAACTTCAAACAGTCTCATTGTTTTGCAGAAATAACAATTCCTTGAAATTAAATTTTTAAATGTTTTATTATCTGTGGTTTTGATACATGGTGTTGATCTTCTGCTTGTTAGGATTTTTCTAGTGATGCTAGTGGGCAAATAGATGTCAATCATCTTGATTGTGTAAAGGCATATACATTGGAGTTAAATACAGCTGCTTCTCAGAAGGTACAATCTTAGACATTGTGCAATCTTATTTAAGCCAGTGGGACTACGTATCAAGGTGAAGTGTGTACACAATCTTTGCAGAATCAGTGTGTGTTTGGTGATGTTTTCAACTCAGGAATACTTTTGAAGAATGTTCCTGATGCAGTTGATTGTGTGACTATTGTCACACAGTCAGGCATTTGTGGTGTTAAACCATGGGTTTACATCTGAATCTTGGCTTTTCATTTTCAAAGAAAAAGTTATTTTAACAACTACGTTGTCACAGGAGTGAAATAATGCCGAAAACATACTTGAAACGCAGATGTATGTGGCGTATAGGGATGACTGATAGAGGCAGCAGAAGGTACTTTGAAGAAGGGAAAATAGCTAGGATGTAAAAGATGGAGGGGTGAGGAGTTTAAGGTAGGATAACACTAGTCATTTTTTGGAAAGTAATCATACTTATCATCTACCTGTCAATACTTTGGTATTTTCCATTTGTTGCTCTTTCATTAACATTAGTGCTACAACTTTAGATCTCTACGTGCCCTCTTAAAAGGTGTGCATATTAATACAGGATGTCACTACTTTCTAATCTCACCTGTTTCACCGTAAATGGAAGTGACATGCGTTTAAAATGCCATATAAAAACTGAATTTGCAATAGTTTTCTTAAAAGCTATAACTAATTAACACTACAGAAAGTTCATTTTATTTTTATTTCTCTTAGTGGGAAACGTAGGTAACTTGAAAAGGGCCGTTATAGAAAGAAATGTAAATGCACACCATGTTTAAGAATAGAAAATTAATTCTTCTGATTTACTTTGATCATATTAATGTCTGTTTTGTTATAGGTAGTCATGTTGCAAGGATGTAACTATCCAAAACACAACATTATAGTGTTAGATTAATTAACCTAGTTAAAAAAAATAATAAACCCGATTTTGTAAGGATGCATTATTAGGCAGAATTATTGGAATTCAGTTCGTGTTGAATAGGATGTCTGACCTACTCTCATCTAGTCTCTGCTACTAATGACTCAATTTCTGTGACAGCTTTTCTCATCTGTTAATATATTCTGTGCCATTTCTTGCCATTCTTATGGTTATCATTAGAAAGATCTGAAAATTTAGTCTGTGTTTTGAAGTAACATGCTGGTGGTGCAACTATACTAAAATGTACTCAGTGGCCCATCCAGAATGCTACTTACTTGGTTTAAATATTTCAAGAGCTAGTTGTCTGAAAAAGGAGTTTGGGGACAGATGAAGCAATGCGAGGCTTCTGTTGTCTAGATAGTACATAATTTGCTAAATTGCTAAATATTTTTGATCCTTAGAGGGTAGCATGTTTTGTGTCCCTTTTACCTTTTTCTCCCTTCTCAAAGCCTTGTCATTTAAATATTGAAGATTATAGTATTTTATATTGACATGTGTAGATGGAATTTAGGGATATTACTATTGGCTAACTGATGTCTGCTATGTGACATTTGCAGTACAGGAAAGTATTTTACATGGACAGATCTCAGAAATATTTTTTCACTGTCTAAAAGGGTTTAGTATACGGTGCTTTCAGATGTACCCTGGAGACAGAGCAAACAGTTTTTCAACACTAAATATTTTAAAGTCACAAATTATGTAGGCAACTCAGTAAATACACCAGTAATCTTTGTTTTCCAACCTCTTTTGAAAAATTTGTCCTTGATGTATCAGAGTCACTTTGAAAAGATAGGAATGTGATCTTTAATCTTTTAGAGTAGCTGTAAAACTAAGGAAAACTTTGTCCATGTTTGATGTCTTAGAACTACTGGAGCTGAAAAGTTAACAGTTAATGCTGTGTATCTTCAGTGGAATTATAAGATGAAACTGAAGTGTTTGATATCCTGGAACTTTTCAAGCTTTGGAATAAAAATTCAGTGTTAGAATACCTTAATAACGCAGAGGAGGCTACCTTGTTATTGTAACAAATTATTTTTAAACTGCAAGAACTTTTGTATATCAGTTAGACAACGAATAGCTATTCAATTTGTGAAAGCCCTCCTAGTGTGATAGCCAAACTTTTAAACAGAAGCTGCTTCTCATTTAGTAGCAAGTTGGTTCTCATTTATAGCAACCTTCCTTCAACAGTCAGACCTTTTACCTTGTACTTTTTTAGCATGCAAACTGCAAGCAGTAATTATCTGTAAAAGAACATGTCATCAACTGAAGTTATTTCAAGTCCTGGAAGAAACTGCAAGTTTTAAACTTAGATGAACACTTTTCCTGAGATAAGAGTTGTCTGGTGGCTGGCTGATGAGGTGTGGGGTTTTGTTTTTCTTAGGTTCAAACACCTCTACAAAGAAATATTACAGTACTTGTCAGCAAATGTTCTTCACTGGGTAAATTAATTTACAATCATCTTTCAGGGCTCTTTCCTGTGGGAGAAAAGATTAGATGCTGTAAATTCAGATAAAACTGTTGAGTTTTCATAGGTGAGTGAGAGTAATATATATTAGGGAAGCACTATGTATACCCGTTCTTTAAAAATACATATTTGTGTGTGTATATATATCTCTATATAAACATACTGTACATTAGAACTAGATGATCTTTAAGGTCCCTTCCAACCAAAACCATTCTATGATTCTATATATTGAGAAAAGGAAATTGAAGGCATTTCTGGTTGTTTGAAGAACACAGAGGTAAGATCCTCTGAACTAATCAATGAATGTACTTGTGATGGGTTTCAGTGTTTTAGGAACATATACCTAAGTCATTCCCCAATGTCTCTATGCTCTCCTGTTTTATTCAGATGTAATTGAAAATGAGAGGTAAGTCAAGGAGTTTCTGGGAAAATTACATTCACTGTGTTCCTGCATTGTTTTACAACAGTGACATCCTTCACAGATAGTTGATTGCTTTTAAATCATTGATATCTTAAAAAAAAAACCTAAAAATAAAATAATATCTGTTGGTTGGTTTGTTGTTTGTTTTTTTCAGGTAGAGATAACAGATATTGAAAATGAAGAAAAGAGGTATAATCTCTTCCTTGGACTTCTGGAATCTAGTCACAGTCCATCTGAGTTTCAGCACTTGGTTTTACTTCTTCAGGCTTGGCCACCGATGGACATGAGCAACAGGTGAGCATTTCTTCAAACAATCATGTAACAAGAGAGTTCTAAGTCTGCTTGTTTGATAATACGTAGTTTTCAGTCAATGAATTCGAACATGGCTAAGAGGAGTATGACCTTCGGAAAGGATCATCATGGGAAAAATAAATGATTTATTTAAAGCATAATTGAATCAATCAGTTTCTTGTGAAAAATATATATACATATGTAGCATCATGGAGGAGGCAGAAAACCATTTTATTGCCTGAACCATTGCACAGGAGTGTTTTCTATCTACCTTAAAGTTCAAGTTATGAGTTTTGCTCTTTTTTTTGGCAGTTTGTACAAAATCCATAAAGAGGAATAGAAAGTTCTGACTGTTTTTTCTATTCAAAGTTAAACTTGCAGAGAAACCTTTGAAAGTTAATGTTCAGATGTCTATGGCAGACAGTCTGCAGGAGGTCTATGAGGATAATGGTACCAAGCAACGCTGCTTCTCTTTTCTAGATCTACTACCTATTATTTCTGTCACTGAATAAAGTATCCAAAAGTAGAGCATGTATACTGGGGCAGACATATCCTAGCCCTACAATTTAAAATGAAAATAATTATTTAAAACTTAAGCAGTGCACCTGTCAGAATAGGTATTTATTGAAATATTGAATTTATTGAATGTTTCCAGGAGGATTTGCTTCATCTTCCCAGGAACTGGGAAGGTGAGGCTGACCAGCTGGTGTCTTGAGACTTTATGATAAAAACAAACAGCAAATTTTGTTCTGTGATTAGATTTGTTGATTGATTGATTTAATAATTTTTCTTATTACTATTGTTCACTGTCTCTGCTACTTTTACTTTGCCAGGAGACTTTGGAATGCCTTCATGAGAAAATTGCCCCCTTCTCTTTCGCTAATAATAGCCACTTATACTGGTTTTATGGAGAACATTTGACTCTTGTAAATGTGATGTACAGTGCAGACTCCAAACTGGTTTACTAAACTCAGTACTAAATTGACAGTCATTATCTCTGGAGAAATAAAGAGTAATTCAGATTTGCTAGATTTTTTTGAGTTTGCCTGAAACTCTAGACAACCAAAAAATTAAAAGAAAAATTAATTAGCAGAGCAAGCAATTGTGTTGATAGTATAGAAAACAATTTTGTTTGGTTTAGTTTTTGACTTTTTTTTTTTGAGTGGTGGACACAGGGTATGGCTGCCACAGTTGTTTGATTCTTCAGTTCTCTCTGCTAGCTTGAAGGGTGGAAAAAAATCATCTAATCTTTTCTTTTCCCTGCCTTAGCAGTGTTTTGCTTGGGGAAAAGACAACTGAGGCTGCATCTTGAAAGAAGTGGTAGAGATGTAGTTCTCCTTCTGCCTCCTTCCCTCTTTTTCTCTTGTTTCTTTTCTCAGTAGGAATATTACATGTCTGGTTTCGCTTATTATGTATGTATGTATTTATTTATTTATTTGTTTGAGTAAGTCAATGATGGTTCAGTTTTCCCTTCTCTACTAAGAGTTGTCTTGATAGAATAATATATCAAAGGGGAGCGTTTTCATTCCCTGGGTTCTGTCTGTGTTTATATTCCATTGTTTCCTTTTTATTATCACTTTCATTTCTGTTACTAACAGTGCTTGCAAGACTG